CTTTCCTCCAGGAGCCCCTCCGTCCCGTCACTTATGGGAACTCCCCGGAGCCCTTCTCCCGGGACCAACGCCCCTTCATTTCCAGACGACACCCCCGCGCCCCTCGATTCCTAGGCTCCTCACCCCGGCCCCTTCCCTCCGTTCCGACGATACCCCCTCTCCCTCCCTCGGGGTCTTGCGCCCTCACCTGCAGGAGCTCCGGCCACGGACTCTGGGCAGTCGACGCGCCGAGCCGGTCTGGGCCCCCGCTCACCGCTGCGGCCACTTCCTCGTGGGCGGGGGCGGGGCCATACTCCGGCCCCGCCCATCCTGGGCGCTGAGACAGTGGGGCGCGATTTGTCCTGGGGTGTCGGGGCCTGAGGTGCCCAGATCTTCGGCGATCGCCCCTCCCTGCTACAGGTGGGGAAACTGAGGCGGGGAATGAGGGTGGCAACCTGAATAGCAGCAGGAGGGGAACCGCGGACTCTGAGCGCCCTAGCTCGTGACTGAGCAAGTTGGAGACGTGTGCATGCCTTGGCGCCCAGCCTTGTGAGAGGACGTCCCTACTTCGCACTGATCCTACGACAGGCTGGCTCCATCCTTGGCCGGTGACTTCGACACAAAACAGGATGCTGATTTCAGTGCTAACTTCTTGTCCAGCAATGTACTCGGTGATACTTCACTCCTTCACGTTTGGGAGTAAAGGGATCAGGAACTTGAATCATGTGGTCCCTAGGAGCCTTCCCATCTGGACCCTCTGCCTCATCAGCGGTCATGTGGCTAGGAGGCTGGGCAGATGGAGACTTTGGCAAAATGAAACCCTATTCCATTGCTCTCCACAAGCCCGCTCTATAGGATTGATCCATCCCACCCCAGGCAGCAGCTGATAGGGTGCACTCATCTAGCAACCTCACTGTTAAGTCTCAGTAAACCTCAGCTAAAGTTGTTATGACTCTGAGCCCTCTGGTACCGAGATGCTGAGGGACTGCTACGCAGGGACCTTCATCTTGCAGCCTTGGTAGAGTTTCACATGGCCTGTATTGTCCCCCTCCCCTTAGGGACCAGTGACACTGTCTGCTTCCTTGGCTTCCTGGTTACTCTTTCCCAGGGAGTGAACCCAGGTGGGGCTGACCCTCATCTCTAGTGGTGACCTCTAGGTCTTGTGGTCCAAGATGACCCAATCAAGCCAAGCCCAGATGTTTGGAGGGATGGTGGATGCTGGAGGGTTGAGAGGCATGAATCTGAACTGCACTGTGGAACAATCACTAGGAAGCTGGCCTCAGAGTAGAGAGAATGCCCGAGAAATGACCAAAACCCTGGACAGCCTGCAACTATCCAGAGTCAAGTCTAACCTACCAGTCAAGCAAGGTCTCTGATGTGTGAATTATACTTGTATTTTATTTTTAACCTGACTAGTTTTTCTGTTACCCATCACCAAAAGCATCCTAGAAATTACACACCTCTTGAGGATTCTTCTGTTGACTGAGCCTGATTTGATTGATGAAGGTTTGTAAACTCCATGTTGTAGTTGTTATGTGACGTGGAGTGGGTTCCGACTCATAGCGACCCTGTACAGGGTTTCCAAGGCTGTAAATCTTTACGAGAGCAGAAAGCCTCATCTTTCTCCAGTGGTACAGCTGGTAGTTTCGAACTGCTGACTCTGAGGTTAGCAGCCCAATTCGTAGCCACTATGCTACCAGAGCTCTTTTGTAAACTCCACAGGAGTGGAAAATATGTCTGTCTAGTCCGTATCGGCTCTCCTGCCACCTAATACAGAGCCTGGCATGTAGGAGTCACTCAGAAACATGCCTGTTGAGTGGTGAATGGACAATGACGTCAGAAATCAGATTCTAATCCCTGTTCTGCCACTTAACCCGCAGTGTGGCCTCAGCCAAGTTGCCTCAGTTTCCCTGGTTGTACAGTGAGGCTGCTCCTAACAAACATAGCCTGTCCCTCCCAGGCAGTCTTGGTGGGAAGCGCTGTGGAGAGTTAAGCCAGCCTGAGGTTGGGAAGAGATAGATGGAGGCATTACTTGAAATGGTTCTCCCAGGGGCCAAGTCTTACAGCCCTTAAGTGGAGCCGCTCCCTCAGTGAGGGGGGCTTGGACAAGCAGGCATGCCATTTAAGTTCTGAAAACAACTTGGAGCTTCCTGCTTCTTCCTGGAAGCCAGGTCACATGGCATCAGGGATGGTGATGCTATACTCCCCCAGCTTCTCCACTGTCTCCAGTTGCAAGCAGTTCTGTCCACACTGGGCCATGGCACCTCTCAGACTGGCAGACTCAGAGACCCTATGTTGTTAAGTGCTGTCGAGTCAGTTTTGACCCATAGTGGTTATGGTGGTTATGTGCCGTGGAGTTGGTTCCGACTCATAGCGTCCCTGTACAGGGTTTCTGAGGCTGTAAATCTTTATAGGAGCAAAAAGCCTCCTTTCTCCCACGGAACAGCTGGTAGATTAAAACTGCCGACCTTGTGGTTTGCAGCCTGATTTGTAACCACTGCGTTACCATAGCTCCTTAGCGACCCTATATAGGGTTTCTGAGGAGCAACTGGTGAGCTTGAACTGTTGACATTGCAGTTCAAACCAACTTTGCAGTCTAGCACATTAACCTACAGCACCGCACCAGACTCCCTGAGTTCCTATAGGACAGAGTAGAATGACCCCTTAGGGTGTCCAAGTAGGTGTCGTCTACTGTTCTATAAAGATGACAACCTTGGGGTTGCATTCAGCTGGAATTGACTCAGTGGCAATGAGTCACCTTTACAGATGCCGGTTGTCATGCTTTCCTCTCAAGGGCTGACTGGTGGATTGGAACAACCCACATTACGGTGAATGGCCACTGATCTACCTCAAAACTAAAACCCACTGCTGTTCAGCTGATTCTGACTCATAACGACCTTATGTTGTTGTTGTTAGGTGCCATCGAGTCAGTACCAACTCAGAGCGACCCTAGGCACAGCAGAACGAAACACTGTCCGATCCTGGGCCAACCTCACTACTGTTACCACGCTTGAGCCCATTGATGCTGCCACTTTGCCAATCCATCTTGCTGGGAGTCTTCCTCTTTTTCTCTGACCCTCCACCTCACCAAACATGGTATCCTTCTCCAGTGACTGGTCCCTCCTGACAATATGTCCGAAGTATGAGATGCAGTTTGGCCATCCTATAGGACAGAGTAAAATTGTTCCATAGGGCTTCAGAGGCTGTAAAACTTTATGCAAACAGACCACCTCATCTTTCTCTGGGACGTCTGCAGGGAGATTTGAACCACCTGCTTTTTGGTTGGCAGCTGAGTGTCTTTCTGCTCTATCCTCACTGCACTGGCATCATTGCCTCTTGGTTACAAAATGGCAGCCAAGTTCCATCGTTACCTCAATTGTAAAGAAGCAAGCGGTGAGCTAGCCCAGGGGGCTCCAACATGCACCCCTTTATCTCATTGGTCAGAACGGGTCATGTGCCTATGCCAGAACAGGGACCATGGGTCTCTTACCAGAGATCTGCCAGCAGGTGGAAAGAGGGGAACCCTGCTACCCTCTCAAGGCCACAAGCGCATACTTCCCTCCCAAGCCATGTGGCTGACTCTCCATGTCACTTCAGCTGAGGAACTCAGGTGCACAATGGCCCTCACCCGGTGTTGGTCACCTCCCAGCAGTTCAATGACATCCCACTGCACTGGAGACTGGACCCCTTCTCCTTAAAATACCTAACAGGGCTCTGGTGAAACTGCCATGGCCCCATTATCAGTGAATTTGAGAGCCCAGTCAGACTCAACGTGACCCTGTATTTACTATTTACTATTACATGTGAGGAGCTCTGGTAGTATAGTGGTTACGAACTGGGCAGCGAACCACAAGGTCAGCATTTCTTATCTACCAGCGGTTCTGTGGGAGAAAGATGAGGCGTTCTGTTCCCGTAAAGATTTACAGCCTCGGATACCCTGTGCAGGGTCACTATGAGTCGGAACCGACTCCACGGTACTTAACAACAACAATTACATGTGTACACCTCGAGTTGCCACCTTGCAATGGCAAGGTTCATATCTAATTATGATGAAAATAAACGACACCCTGATTATTTCAACCTTGTCCCTTCCCGCTGGCTGCATGTTTATGGTGGTAGATGTGGTGACTCCTCCAGCTGGGGGCACAGCGCACAGGCCTGTTGGGACATGACTGTATCCTGGCAGTGGGATGAAGGGGCTGCTGTCTCAGGTGCAAACTAGGAAATGCTCCCCTACTTTGCAGAAGTATTATTCTACTGACAGACTGCATTCACTAAAGGGGCCTTCTGGTTCTTCAATAAGTCGTTCTCTTGGTTAAAGACGGTATAAAGTTGCCACTGAGTTGATTTCAACTTACTGGGACCCCATGCTCCATAGTGTTTTCAGTGGCTGAGAGTCTGGTCTTTCTCCCAATGTTCCTCTGGGTGGACTTGAACCTCCAGCCTTTTAGTTAACAGCTGAGTGCTTAGCTGTTTGTACCAGCCAGGGTCTGCAAAGGTTGTACAGGATGGTGTGAGTTCAGAAACTAAGAATATGAGCATTCTGTTGTCTCTGAAGAAAATAATACATAGTCTGCCCCCTCCCCCCCACTGGAATTTAACTTTATAACCATTTGCCCCTGTATTTCTATTAAAAATGGACACAATCTGAGGAAACAAAACCAAAGCCACATTCAGTATATTTATTGAACTGTCTAGTAGCAGACAATGTACACACCTTCCTCCCCTGCTTTAAGTCAGTGTGACGATTTTCCAATATAAATGACAATTTTCCAACATAAACGACTTAAAGAGAAGTCTGGTTAGGGATGGAATGGAACAGCCAAAAAAAAAAAAAAAAAAATTTATCACTGATGCCTTTTTAAAAAAAAACCAACATTTTCACCAATTATTTTCAAACAAAACCACACACATATACACACACACACACACGGTATTTGCACGCTATGTATTTTCAGTGTTTCTGGTGGAAAGGAGGCAGGCAGTTGCAAGGGTCACGCCAAATCAATCCAGGAGGTTTGCTCAGCTTCACATTATCCGAAGGCCCTGGATGGAAGATTCTAGGGTCTTGAAGAAAGCAGAAAGACATGTTACTGAGGACTGTCTGTTGGAGTATTCCCATAGCACTGCTTTCCATCCCTGTTTGTTGAGGTGCACCCTCAGCCCATGTGACCCTGCCCCACCTGTGACAGGCTCTCCCCAGACTTGGCCCCCTCCTAGCCCCCCGGCTCCCCCCAGCATGTGTGCTCCCTGTCCATGGCTCCTGGTCTGTGCTGTTTGTGCCAATGCTATTACGCATGTGCCCCCTCCTCATTGCACCCTGGACACACTCCACGGAGCAGGCGCTAGAGATGCAGACACATGGGGGGCGGGGCTGGTGTCTCAGCACCAGAGCAGGAGGGGCTTGGCCTAAGGAATCACAGAAATACAGGGCAGATCTGTGAAAACACACAGCAATGCCTGCACAGGTGGTGGGTGACTATCACGCAGGACGTAAAAGCCAGTGAAAGGGGTTGGGGAGAAGCCTGTTTCTCCGGAGAACCTTCTGGAAGGTCCTGTACTATGTATGTGACTCCAGGTGGGGGAAAAGCCAGGCACCACAGAAATGCACAAGCAGTGACTAAGTGTGTAGCCATCTACTGTTGGAATTAACCAGGAGGAATGAAGTCAGAGCCACACACGGCACATCTTCTCTGACCTGTTCCTCCTCCCAGCTCCCTATCTGCCCCACCCCCAAGCTAGGACATAAAGTCTTTATGGATTTTTCCCTCATGGTCACTACACCTTTGAGTCCCTGGATGGTGCAAATGGTTAACAAAAGGATATGAGCTCTATTATCCCCTCTGTACACAGGGTAGACAGGGACGGGCAACTTACACATTGGCTACCTAAAATGAGGGGGCAATAAGGCACAAAGTGACTGGCTTACAAGTGTTCAAGAGGGACTTTAGTTTAAGAGTGTGTGTGGGAAGATAGAGTCTCCACTGAATATTTTTCATCTTGTCTTGATGGGTCTGGTGAAAAGAAATGGGAATAAGATTCTTATGATTCAATAATGAGTACTTGTTATCATGACTAACTGCGACAGTCACAATTGTAAAGATAGAAGCTTTGTAACAAAAATGGGGGAGTAGTTAATCAAAGGACCCTAGGATATCAAGGGAGAGGAGCACAAGCGGAATGCGGGACCGTATCCAGAGAAGCAGCCACACCAGAGATGGAGGCAGAGATGAGGACACAGAGAGAGGGAGCAGCTGAGGACTCTGGACTCATAGAAAGTAAGGGACTGAGTGCTGGTGGCCAGGAGGCAGCCTTGCAGAATGTGCCCTTTGGTTATTTAAATTATTTTGTATTTCTGAGTGGTTTTGTGTACAACCCTCCCCTCGCCACACCCCCCAAAAATCAGAGGGAATGGAAGTAAATACTGTTGAATGACAATGCACAGAGGAGATTGTAATCATTGCAATGAAAACGATGTTGTAAAGCTGATATTCTCCCATGTAAACATCACTTGGTTCACATACAAAAAAGTTGAATTGTCAAATGCTGTCTTAGCTATATTTTAACAATAATAAAAAAAGCTGATTTAAAACCAGAAATAAAACTGTATTAAAAAACTAGTGTTGAATGATGAAGCACGTAGATTATAATCATTATATTAAAACGATGAGTATAAACTCTATGTTCTCCCATGTAAACTATCACTCAAATCACAATAAAAACTTTAAAAAAGATACGGGTTCTAGCCTACCCAGAGGAGCCTCAGCAGAAAAGGTCTGACCATCTACTTCTGAAACCTCAGCCACTGGACACCCTATGGAACACAGTTCTACTCGGTCACTCACAGGGTCACAAGGAGTCAGAACAGACTGACTGGAAGGCAGCTGGTTTGGCTGGTCACTTGATCACATCCTAAATGAGCCTCCCACTTGGAGGTCCTGGCCATGCGCTTTGCCACTCTCCACCACTGTTCACTGGCCTGCCTGCTGCCTCTCTGTGCATGTCCAGAAGTTCTGGGACAGGCCCTTGACGCCTGCCACCAAGGCCAACCCTTTTCCCTTGGCCATTCCCATGGTTCTTTTGATAATTCCATCCCGCTTTGGTGGGTCCATGCCACTAGCTACCAGTGCAGAGCAGGCCTGTGAATGCCATACTCTCTCTTTACTCCTCTGGGGCTCCACCTAGCCTCCCAATGAGTACCAGCGACCAAGGCCTCCCTACTACCAGACATGGCCCTCCAGGGCAAGGACTTGGTCTCTGTCACCTCAGTACTCTGGTGCTACTGCCATGTCTGGCACATAGTAGGTGCTTGGTGGTGGTGGTGGTTATGTGCTGTGGAGTTGTACAGGGTTTCCAAGGCTGTAAATCTTTATGGGAGCAGAAAGCCTCATCTTTCTCCTGTGACACAACTGGTAGTTTCAAACTGCTAACCTTGCGGTTCACAGCCCGATTCATAACCACTACGCTACCAGAGCTCGACTGTTAATTAATGGAAACCATAAAACTGTCTCTATAGTTCAACTCAGGATGGCGCACACCATATGGCCTGCTACCCCAAAGCACCATTTTGATCATTGAAGTGGACTTGTAGAAGTTCCATCTCCCAGAGAAAACATGCTTTCCTCTGCTACTTGTTTCCAGATTTAAAGGGAACCAGAGTCTTACATCCTTTATTTCTAATGTCTCAAGAAACGAGAAACATTTTTTCATAGGAAGAGTCTTCACACAAACAGGATTTGTTCAGAGAGGGAGAAAATACCTTGAAATCCCAAATTGTCATGGCGCCATCGATGCCAGTAGTGCAGAATTTACGGCAATCTTGCTTGTCCACCTCATAGATAGACACTTGACTGGAAAAAGCAGAACCAAGAAAGGTCATGAGGTACGGTGTTCCCTCAACAGAAGCAACAGCAAAGAGTCCAATGCACTTTATTCCTGGCCTTCCAAAAAAGGAACGACTGGGGTGGGGGGATTAAGACGCTGCGTTAATTAAGGACACCTGGAGTAGTGTAAGCAGTCGGGGTGGTACAGTGGGCTAGTCAATGGGGTACTAGCCACAAGGTCAGCGGTGGTTCAAACCCATCAGGCAACTGCATGGGCAAAAGATGAGGGTGTCTGCTCCCGCAGAGGTTTCCAGTCTCAGAAACCCAAAGGAGCAGTCTACTCGGTCCTACAGGGTCGCTGTGAGTTAGAACTAATCTGACTGCGGTTTCTGTGTTTTATTTTGGAGAAGCCGGACAGTTCAGACCACACAGTGTGCCAGCAGCCAGGGCGCCAGAGAAGGATAGGACACTAGTGACTGGAATGGAAACAATTTTCTTAACTAGAGGCTTGAGGAAGCATGTCTGAACTCCTCCTGGCTCCCAACGACAGCTCCTAAATCACCCCGGGGACAGTCAGGACACGTAGGATAGAGCCCTCCTTGCGCCTGAAGCTCATTAGTTATGAATGTTAGCCAGAGTCACACACACCTGCCACAGGATTCTAACCAACTCAAGAGGAACGAAACAGCTTGTCCTAGCCAGATTATCTGAAGCACTTGTTCCATAAAATCCATTCCTGAGGGCAACAGTAGTCTTCTCCCTTCTTATATGTGCCTTTTAAAATATAATAATTTTCTTTATTTTGTTACTGTTGAGAATGGTGGTGGTGTGCCATGGAGTCGCTGCCGACTCACAGTGACCCTGTACAGGGTTTCCGAGGCTGTAAATCTTTATAGGAGCAGAAAGCCTCATCTTTCTCCCATGGAATGGCTGATAGTTTTGAACCCCTAACCTTGAAGTTAGCAGCCCAGCGCATAACCACTACGCTACCAGAGCTCCTTCTGTTGAGAACATACACAAAACACACTCCAATTCAACCATTCCACCAAGTAAAATTCTGTGATGATTCCATTCTTCAAGTTGTGCAACCATCCTCACCCTCCTTAGCTGCGTGCCTCCTCTCCACTCACTATCCCCTATGGCTCTGATCTATGGGGTTGCTCTTGTCACTTTGATCTCTTACAGGTGAGAGAGCACAATACTCAAGGCAGACATTCTTTACTACACCTAACCTACTGTTTGGTTTTAAGATGACTTCAGGGGACATTTTAGTTTATAGATTATCTCAGGGCAACAGTTTCAGGGATTCATCCAACCTTCAGGGATCCAGAAATCTGGATTCCATGAGAATTTGAAATTCTTTTCTGCATATCCCCACTTTGGACCAGAATTCTCCTAGGGAATCTTTGATCAGAATGTTCAGTAATGGGAGTCAGGCACCAGCCAGTTCTTCTGGTCTCATGACAAAGGAGGCAATTAGTCACACATTCCATCTCCTCCTAGTCCTGACTCTCCTTCTTCCTTGATCCAGGTGAGCAGAAACCAATTTATGTCTTGGATGGCTGCTTGCAATCTTTCAAGACTCCAGGCTACACAAGGAACTAGGAGGTTGAACAGAAGTACTAAATACATTATGAGGCCAGTTAACTGGGACATCCCATGAAACCACGGTCTTAAAGCTCCAACCTAAGAAACCACACCCATGAGGTTTTCAGGCGCCCTTGGTCATTGTTGTAAATATATCTTATCACACAACGTTTCACAGGTGTGGTGCTATAGGATAAGGACTAGATTACCAACCACAAGGTTGGTGACTCCAAGCCTCCAGTAGTAGCTTGGAAACCTTATACAGGGGGTCACTATGAATCAGAATCAATCAGATGGCACGTAACACAATAAATCTAATTTATAGCAGTTACAATAACTGGCTGTGTAATCCTACCCTGCATTAATGGGGTAGTTCCATTACTGGTAACCTTCCCTTCCTCTCCCTTCTGCCTTTAAAACACAAAAAACCAAACCTACTACTATTAAGTCAGTTCTGGCTCATTGTGACCCTGTATAGGGTTTCTGCAGGATAATGCACTAGACTGCAAGGTCGGCTTGAACAACAAGGTGGGTGGTTCAAACCCACCAGCCGCTCCTCGGAAACCTTACACAGGGTCACCATGAGTCGGAAACAACTCGATGGCACTTAACAACATAGGGTTTCTGAGGCTGCAAATCTTTATGGCAGCTAAAAGCTTCGTCTTTCCTATACAGAGCGGCTGGTGAAATTTAAGCAGTGGAATAGCTGGGTCAGAGAAGGTCTTAAGTTCTTACTTTTAGTTTTTTGAGTAAGTGCCACACTATTTCCCACAACGGCTGTACCATTTTACATTCCTACCAGCAATGGGGAAGGGTTCCAATGAACCCCACATCCTTGCCAACCTTTTTTTTTTAAATCTTAGCCATTCCAGTGAGAGTGCAATGGTAGCTCCTTGTGGTTTTGATGTGCTTCTCTCTGACGGCTGACTATGAGGAGCATCTTCTCATGAGTCTGGTGAAAAGTCTATTTGAGTCCTTTGTCCATTTTATGATATATAGTTTGTCTATGGTGGTTTTCGGGCTACCACAGAGGCTGCGTGGCCATCCACAGCCTAGAACGTGCACTATCTGGTCCCATACAGAGAAAGTTGTTGACCCTTGCAAACTGGAATGTCTACCTTTATTTGTAGAAATGAAGTCTTCTTTGCCTATCTCTATTTTTGCCTTTTTCTTTTTAACCTAGAAGTCTCAGAGAGTTGATGAGTGTTGTTCCCTACCTGACAGGCCGTCTGCAGAGATGTACACAAGAAAATCTCAAGAAATAACTTTGAAAGTTCTTCAAAATGGAGAAACTTGAAGAGTATGAGGAAAAGGTACGTTGGTTACACCTCCATGCTCCTACCTCCATGCTGTCTTTTCCACTGAACCAGCCACTCCTCAGAACGCTATAGTGGGTCACTATGAGTTGGAACTGACTCGACAGCACTTCACCACCACCACCACCAAAATGGAGTAATGGTGTAGCTCTCTAGAATAAGCACTGGACTGTTAGCCACAAGGTCAGTGGTTCAAAACCACCAGCCACAACTCAGAAACCCTCTACAGGGTCACTAGGAGTTGGAACCAACTAAAAGGCACTTAATACCACCACCATAATAAAACTCTTAACACAAAAGATCTCGTCTCATTGAGAAAGTCCTATGGTAGCTAACTCTGAGCCCAACAATTTAAAATATCAAAAATGAATTGCATTTTCCCTTTAAATTAAAAAAAGAAAAAACAACTGTTTGTGTACGACCCAATTCTACAATCTCATATAATCACATGGCGTCCTGGTATAGTGCTGTAGGGTAAGCAATGGACTGCTAATTGCAAGTTCAAATCCACCAGGTGCTCCTTGGAAACCCTATGAGTTGCTCTGAGTAGGGACTGACTTGGGGGCACTTATCAACAACAATACAATCACATCAGCCTTGTGAAATATCAGGAGATGCTGCGTCTTGCCATAACGATGCTAAGTAAAGTTTCTTTCATTAAATGGTCTTTTTACTGCTCTCGGTTACCTGCAATCCATGGCAGAAACGACAGCGAGAACTAGCACTCCAGCAAGAGAGAACCATACTTCCTGTCACGTGTTTACCACAGGGCACCCAGTAACGTTTCTGAGAAAGGGAACGTCACTCACCACACCCCCTCACAGTCCGCAGGGGGTGTGCATGCTTCATTTAGGAGGCACTGTGCCACCACACCACCACCCCGTGAGGACAAGCACCACCATCTGATGATGGATACTCCTGGGTGTTGTTTCCTGGAGGGAATGGGCCAGGCAGGGGACAGAGAAGGGAAGCAGGGTGTCTTGTTCACTTGACCACTCTCCAGGTGGTGAGTGGCCCCGGGGCCTGCGACACCTACGTGATGCTGTTCTGGTGCAGTGTCTCCAAGGCTGTGTTGCGGTCCTCAGTGGTGGCCCGCTTGTCCATGTTACGGAAGCGCTCCATGGCCGACATGTTGCGCTGGATGCTCTGTTTGGGAATGTCGAGTTTGGAGATGAAGGTCAAGCAGCCACGGTCGTCGTAGTTAAAGAGCACGGGGCAGCAGTCATGACCCTGAAACAAGAGCCCAGTCAGCCCTCCAACCTCCACAGAGCTCCCCTGCAGGCATCTCCTAGGCTTCTCAAGAGATTATTCTGTTTCTCCTAAAAGGCTGTTTCCACAGGGCACATGCTGTTCCTGTTCTGGAGAGTTCTATACAGACTTGAAATGAAGGAGGGAGATACTCACAGCAGCCACGACGCTGTTCTCTGAGACAAACGATACACTCAGGAGCGGCAGGAACTCGGTCTTCAGAGTTGAAACCCTGAACACAAGAACACTTGTTGGACCAGAGTTGGAACAGACCACACGGCTTCTTTACAGACACAGATGACAAAGGCCCCCTTCTTACAGGGGCTTGTGTGACACAAATGAATACTTATGTTCAAAGGACACCCCGTGAACTGTACTTTCAGAGAGAACGTCAGAAACGGAGGCCTGCAGTGCTCTCTCCAGTCCCTGCTCCCCTCTCCAGAGCACCTGCTCACTCATAGCAGAGAGCCCTTCCTCTGCTTTTGCTCTCACGCCCCTCCACCCACAGTGTGCCTCTGCTCCCCTTGCGTATTCAAGGTTGACCCCAGTCTCTGGAGCTCAGCTGACCTGAACTACTTCAGCTTCCAGAAGCTTCTCTGTTCTGTTCCCTCCTAGATTTCTCATTGTTGTGACCACAGCAGACCTTTTTCTCTCCTCTCCTCCCCTGTGCTCAGCCTGAGCTCCTAGCCCCACAAACATTCACAGAGAGTCTAGTCTCTGCTTTCTGCCAGGAGCTAGGTTAGGGTTGGGCCTACTGAGATGAATAAGACACAGGCCAAGTCAGCTGGGAGTTCACACTCAAATGGGATGCACATACAATATACAGACACTCGTACACAGACACGTATGTAGACAGGGAGTCCTCAACTGACAACAGGGTTCTCTTCCGACAACTCTGTTGTAATTCAGTCCTGATGCAAACTGAATACCTGATTTTTTAAAAAAAGAGTTTACATTATTATTGTCTTTTACTAGCAATATCCTTGTAAATCTGATCTTTGTTTTGGGGGCTTGGAGACATTACACATTAACTTGCAAATATGATGACATCAGCAAAGTACATATTATATCACTTAAGTGGTACATATATCATTAACAGTAAGATGCAATGGGAAAAAACAAAACAAAAAATGAATGGTCTTTAAGTGTAATTTATCATGACTCAAATATATCATGTACGGTGGTCTAGTTGTTTGATAATTATACAATTGGTGCTGTCTCATAGAAACCTGTACAGGGTTTTTACAGGAGCAGAAAGCCTCATCTTTCTCCTGCAGAGTGGCTGCTAGATTCCATCAGTTGACCTTGAGGTTAGCAGCCCAACTCTTAATTCACTACACTACCAGGACTCCCTATCTCAGGAAACCCCCTAAATAAAGTCTGCATCAGATTAAAGAAAGGGTTAGCACCCCATTATAAAGCCTGCCAGTGGTATAACTAGTCATCATACAAGAATCTGTATGTTTGAGAAGTGAAGGGGTGGAGGATGTAACCTCGCTGGGAGACCTGGAAAAGCTAACTAATCAATAGGAGGGTAGACCTGGTCTCGTAGTAAGCATATTTTAAGGGCTTACTATGCATCACAATGGGGAGTTCAGGGACTCTGTAGGATAACCACCGGACTGCAAACCACAAGGTTGGCTATTTGAACCTACCGGCCACTCCATAGGAAAAAGATGAGGCTTTCTATTGCTGCAAAGATTTTATACAGGGTCACTATGAGTCAGAACCAACTCAGTGGCACTCAACAACATGCATTACAATAAACTGTATAATTATCAAACAACTAGACATTAAAATATCATTTAAAACATGACTAAATGGCCAAGAGGCAAAGGACTGCTCAAACGGTACAGAATAACCCCATTTGTGTTAAACATGAAAATATATACAAATACCTATAGGCATAGAGAAGCGCTGGTGGCATAGTGGCTTTCGAGCTGAGCTGCTAGCCTCAAGGCTAGCAGTTCAAATTCACCAGCTGCTCTGTGGGAGACAGCTGAGGCTTTCTGTTCAAACTCACTAGCCGCTCCTTGGAAGCCTCAGACAGGGTCCTATGAGTTGGAACTGTCTTAACAATAACAAACAAGCACACTCTAATCAGAGAGGAAAACCCATCTCTGGAACTTCCTGTTCCGCTGGCTTTATGCAGCAGAGGGGGCTGGGGTCACTGCATGACCAACTCTTGCCACACAGGCCAAGGCTGCCAAGCCGTGAGGTGGGTCACCTCCTGCTGTCCCCAGGAAAGAACACAGATTCTTAAGGGGAATCTTTTCCAGCACAGAAATGAGCCCGAGTGGACGCTGCAGCTGACCAGAGCCTGAATGCTCTTCCCTCAAGGCTGGGCAGCACCCAGTCACCCACGAGCTGCGGAAATTCAGGGTGCTCCAGCGCTCGTCAGAGGACCAGCACTGCGGCTCAGTGGCCTCATCAGGAGCCTGTGGAGTCACTGCTCAGGGACTAACCTGCCAGAAAGCCCCAGGGACTGACATTTAATGAGGAGTGCCCTCAAACAGTACACCAACGTGCTCTCAAAGGGCTCACGGTCAGTGCTCCTGGCAGGAAGAGCTAATGCTTTAAAACCCCCAAACAGACACTTAATGCATTGCTGCCACCTCAGAGGTGGCCTCTGCAGGTCTGGTTTAAGGCATTTTGCTTGCATCCGACATTCCTCCCCAGGCAAGGCTGGCAGTCCCCTCCACCCAGCTGCTGAGAGATCTTTTGTCCCCAAGCAAAAAGGAATACTCACTGCACACTCTTTGAGGCATCAGCAACGGACACGGTGCTGTCGTGGCTGACCCAGGCCAGGCGACTCCCACTGGCGGAGAAGCTGACCCCGTGCACCCAGCCACCACTGCCGCTGCCACCAAACTCTGACATCAGCTGACCAAAAGGCATCTTGCTGCCCCATGGTGTACTGGCTGGCTTCTCATCCACTTCTTTAATGTAGGCAGAAAACACCCTACAGTTTAGAAGGCAGGCAGAAAGGGAAAAATGCATGAGGATATATGTATACAACGAAAAACTTCAGGCAGTCACAGTAAAGTACCCCACTGCAAGGACTCGTAAAAACAGCGTGATGGATGAGCTCAGATACCCATGCCTCTAAAGACACAGAATGGCTGTGTCTTTGAAGGGCTGCCTACTGGCCAATCCAAATTCAGTCAATCCATACTCAACACCAGGTCTTCATAAAGCTCCTACCAGACACCAGGTACTTCTTTAGGTGTGGAGCTCTGGAGGTGGTCCAAAAGCCATCCAAAGCCCTTCCCTCATAGACTGCTCAAACTGTTCCCTTGCCCAACTCACACATGATAAACGTCATAGCATTCTTTGCTGTCTACCCCACCATAACTCTCCACGCAATGCTCCAAGAAGCCAACACAATCAAGTGGAACGAGGGAGGAGACTAAGTGGGCCTGTATTAACCCTCCAAGAAAGAGATGACCAAATTGAGAGCCATGGAAGGCACCAATGAGAAAGAGTGAGGTCAGCAGGTAGGGTCACTGTTTAGCCTGGGTGGCAGGTTCCATGGAGATGAAGATGGGCCTGGCCAGCCTGGTGCTGTGAGTCTATCTCACACTCTAATTCCATGGCGCTGTGTGCCTGAATGTTCTGACCCTAGGTGGGAAGGAGAACAGTTGGGGGTCTGTCCTGTTAGTGTCTTCTGCCCTCCCAAGTGAGTTCTACTTTGTCCAGTTTCTTCTCTTCCGATTCTGAAGTAAGGGCACCTCCTAAAAGACTGAGAGATATCTGCCCCCAAATAGCAGCGGGGGCACTGGAAGAGGCCAGGCACAAGAGAGGCCAAGGCCATGGCGAGTTTGTCTGTACACTGGGTGGCGTGAAGCTGGCGCCTCAGTACTGTAAGTCACATTCAGTGGCTGTTTCTTTAGCCACAAGGAGCCAACAGCCCTGGGGGTTCTCAACTGTGAACTCGAGAGCTGGCAGAAGCCACACTCACGGGCTAAGAGGCAGAGAAAAATTTATGTATTGAAGTTAATCTTAGACAAAAAGAACAGTAAACTGTTTTCAGATGTGTCAGGAGATCTCAGGTGAGGACCTGGAATGTTGGAGCAGCACATACATACAGCCCAGCTCCTTGTGACCGACTCCAGAGAATGGCTATGTCTTCACGCCTACAACACTCTAACCTAATTAAGTTTAGATTTCTGTAACTGTTACAGGAATCTAACCTAATTACCTCTACCTCCTAGTGTTGACTCTCGCTTTAAGGGAAAATACTGTTTCCCACTAAACGAATGGATTCTACCACACTCCCATCCCTGCAGCCACATTCTCACTTTTTTTTTTTTTTAAACTTCAGGGTATTCCTAGAAATTTTCCATATAAGCCTATTGAAGAGAGATGCATGCCAAGTCCCAACCCACCGCGGAGTCATGTGAGATGGTAGGTACCTGTCTTTCTTTGGGCAGAGGGAACTAAAGCCTCATCAGGGTAAAGAGCAGCTTTCTAAAGCAATCACAAGCTCCAGGCAGAGGGGCTGCGTGCCTTCCGGCCGTTCGCTCCTTAACCCCACACCACAAGCTTTCAGAGCCAAGGAGCAGCTGTGCATGGTGCAGCTGTGTTTTGCTGATCTTCACTCCGCTCTAGGATTTGTGGGGTCTGCTGCCTGGGTCATCAAATGACAAATAATACAGTCGTCGAGAGAGAGGGAAGGAGAGACCGCACACATGCACTGACCCTCACTCGAAATATCATTATGCCATCTAAGGAACACCTTCCTGATGTCACATTAAGTGAAATCCCTCCTGTATGTTCAAGGCCACTTCTGTCCACATTAGTGACTTAAATACCGCCTGGCTAGCGGCTCTCACAGTACCGAGAGTCCAGTACTTTGCAAAGAAAAGTAACCTTACATACATATGTGAGGGGACTTCAAAAAGTTGGTGGAAAAATGGAATGAAAAAATAATGGAATTTTCCCACCAACTTTTTGATGCCCCCTTGTCTGTGTTGGAAAATGGACTATGAGCAGCTCAAGTCTGCCTACCAATCCCCCAGCTCCCACCTGCATTTGAAGTCACATGAGCCTGCTGCCAGCAAAACGTTGTTGGGATGCCAGTCCAAGCTGAGGACCGTGGAGCGGATCGGCTTCTTAATGTGCTTGCTTACCCACCTATGAGACGAGAAAACTCATCTTAATATATCTACACATCAAGCGACAGTTCCCGAGCAATCTATAAAAGTGTTGGTGAAAACCCCCAGCCTGGTTTGCTCACACTGCACTTCTCACAGACAGAACAGCAGCCAAACCGTAAAAAGTTCCTCTTTTCCAACGTCTTTTAGGCCTTGACCTTCTCCTCTGATGAGTGGGTTCTGAACTTTCCCAGCCACCAATGCCTCCTCATTCATAAATAAACTTACAGACGAACACTGGTACTGCCCTACGGAGTTTCAGGCAATTTTAGCTTTTGAGATGAGAACTGAGGTTTGAAGTGATCTGCGTTTTTATTATAAGCATCCATCTGTGAGCGCATGTTGGGTTCACTTTGGTTTCTGAGATAGTTTAGCTTCTATTACACGTTTCTAAGATGCTAAAAACTTGTTTGTTTTCCTAGAGAAATGACATCTAAGAAATTAGCTGAAGCTCTTGCTGGGAATTAGTCTCGAGTTAATTCTCTAACTTCATTTAAAAAAAAAAAAAAAAAAAAGGTTTATTGATCTCAAAACAGTCAATATTTTGCCCTAACGGATTCAATTTCTATCCCCAAACTATTGTTTTAAAAATCAGTCAAGTCCAGAGAAGATCTCAAGCATTCAGAGACCTAATACTGGGCTAGATGCCCTTTTTTGAAGGGAAATTTTTATTTATTTATTTATTTTAAATCAAGTCTTGTCTTAGGAACCTTCATGATAGGTTAATTCTGAAACAAAAACAAGATTCAGAACTATTCTATAATGCAGTGACTTAAATAAAAAGTATGGCAACCCAAATAATTAACAGCTGATATGACTGGAGCACCGGTGTCTGTAAAAGTCCGAGCAGTTTTCAACTTACAATGGGGCTCCATGCCAAGAAGTCCGTCTTAAGTTGGTTCTGACGTAAGTGGAGTATCTCACTGCCCACCCTCTCCCTCTCCAATGCTTTCATTGTTACTGGTTTTTATAATCAGTATCTAAGTCCAATCTTTATTAATTATCAATTGGGGGTTGGCATGAGAAGGATAACATCAGCAAACTATGTTGTGGAACACTGTAGGTAGTACATAATTATGAACAATAAGTATAAAAATAAAATACAACAACCCTCGAATGATTGTAAATGCAATCTGCTGAAACTCTAATATGTCATATACTGGTAATGACCTGTACGTGCATCATGTGGTGGTGGTGGTGTGACTCCGAGTCAGTTCTAACTCACAGCAACCCTGCAAAAGGTTTCTGAGACCGTTAATCTTTACGGGAGCAGAAAGCCTCGTCTTTCTCCTGTGGAACAGCTGGTAGTTTTGAACTGCTGACCTGGAGGTTAGCAGCCAGACTCGTAACCACTATGCCATAGGAGTGAACTATTGTTTATAGCTGTTACAATTTCTTGAGCAGACAGCATGACTAAATAACAATCCCTTGTACCACAGTAAAACCCAATTTACTTCTCTTTTCAGCTATTACTTGATGACTAAAAATGTAAATCATCCACTGAGGTTGAAGTTTATCCAGGAAGACAATGTCCCACATAACTGAGAAGGACTGTAGGGATCCGGAGCCCACAGGAAACGTGGCCCTGAAGGAATGTCTTCCATAGGAGGCCTCCCAGTGATCTTTAATTTCTAGCAGGCAGCATGGGGCAGGCTTCTGCACAGGCCGAAAGAATGCATGTCGTGAAGTCACAGTCCAACCTTGCTGTCAATTCTTACTGTTCAAAGATCCAAAATATCTGAGGTTTTATAAATCCCCTCCTTTCGCTGTTTTGGCAGAAACGGTAAGACAGATGCAAAGAATGAAGTGTACTCTGCTATTTTTAGTGGTAACAGAAACACTGCCTGTACTGTACTCCCTGACAGCTCCATGGGGAAAGGGATTCACCGAGCTTGCTGAATGTGAGCCGAGCAGAACAAGGAATACTTAAAATAAGTTATTCAGACATAAAAATAAACCTCAGAAGTTCAACTGGTTCAGCCACAAGTGATTTATAGAAAAATACAACAGCCTGATTATACTGTCAAGAGTCTGGTGTATTTTGACTCCAGTGGTCTGTTGTTAGAAGCCATTGACTCTATACACGACAGAACCAAACACTGCCTGGTCCTGCACCTCACAACTGTTGCTATTTTTGAGCTCATTATTGCAACCTGGGTCAATTCATCCTTGAGGGATCTTCTTCTTTTCCAACGACCGTCTATTTTATCAAGCATGAGGTCCTTCTCCAGGGACTGGCCCCTCCTGATACCATGCCAAAAGGATGTCTGAGGAGCATCCTGGCTTTATTCCTTCCTAGACAAACTTGTTTGTTCTTCAGTAGTCTGTTACATACATTCGATATTCTTCATGGAGACCACAATTCTAAGACATCAAGTCTTCTTCAGTCTTCCTATTCACTATCTAGCTTTCATACGCAGATGAGGTGACTGAAAGCAAGGGGTCAGTTGTACCTTAATGGTTTAGACAGTAAAGTATTACATGAAAACAAAGACTTGATTAGCAAATAAACTTTATAGAAAGGACAGTGTTGTTATTTTTAAGAATCCCAGATAGTTTATAGAGAGCTAGATGGAGTGAGACAAAATGATTTCTCAGTCTGAGTAAGACAACAGCAATTGGAGCAGTCTAGAGTGAGAACAGTCATGTCATCTTATGGAACAAACAAGTTATGAGACCTAAGCATGGAAACATAATAGAGATGCTCACATCTCAGTATGCACATGAGAAGACAAGATGCTCAGTGAGCGAGAATGGAGAATTTAAAGGAAAACGAGTGTCATTACAGTTAAGCCTCAGGAAGTCTCACCCTAGGCCTAAGCCTAGAACACAGCAGTCCAAACATATAACTTTATAGAAGAAGAGACAGAAAGAAAAAAGGTGTAATGCTGCTCACCAGTCATTTTCAGACTCGAAGTAACAGACAGAGATGAGCCGGGCTCCACTTCCCACGGCAAATTTGTTCTCCAGTGGAGACCACTTCACAAAAGTGGCCGCTCGGTTAATTCTCAGGATCACCAGGGTGGGCTTCCACACACCATCTTTTTGACTCCAGACATACGCGTTGCGGTCTGCCCCACAAGTGACGATGCGGTCGCTCTTGGGGGCCCAGTCTATACCTGCATGGAAGTCATCGTGTCAGCAGCGTCTTTGTCCAGTCAATGAGACTGTCTGTGCAACAAGCAGGTGGGCACTGGTGGGGAGGAACCACTGAGCTTGGCACCTTCCTTGCAGTCCCATCCCTTCTCTACCTATGGTCCACACACACAGACAGCTATGGCTGCCCTGGGACTCAGGGTCCTCTGTGGGCAGGTGGACAGAGCTGTTTTATTATACAGTTTTATAATTTTGGAGGTTACAGAACTCATCAGGGACATTCTTTCAACCCACATACAAATTTCTAAAAATATCAGGCATGAAGATCCCTTACCTTTTCCTGTCCTTTTGATTAGATTTTAGTTTTAACCATGAAAACAATGGAGTGCTGGTGTGGCACTGTAGGATAAGCAGTGAGCTGCTAACCACAGGGCTGGTAATTCAAACCCACCAGCCACTCCCTGCAACCGAATGGATGGCACTTACCAACAACATGAAAGCAATATTCCCACAATGTTAAGAGACAAACATCTTAAAGGGACATGGAGAAAAGTTAATAAAGCTCTGCGCATTCTCTACGTCCTCACCCTCCTCCTGCCAACACCCACCATGGCAAAACATTTCCCTCTGCTTTTGATCAGTGGTGGTCATCCATGATCTCCAAACACTAATCTTTTTATAATTTCCTAAATCATCCTTCTCTTGTTGAATGTTTTGTTATCATTCGTTAGTTTCCAATTATAACAGATAAAACTGCAATGAATACTCAGGTTCAGGACATTTTGCTCTAGCGACAATGATTTCCCTGTGGGATCAATTCTCAGAGGTGGGAGGCAAAATGGTGGCATTTTTATGAATGTTCTGTTTTCCTAACTTGATGGCAAGCCTTTTGACCATAGGAGGCATGTCTTTGAAATCGTGGTGGTTTTTTAGAATACACATTGACATAGGAAATGCTACGTCCGGGGTATACCTCAAAAGAGCAGAGGAAGGCGGAAGCGAGTTGAGAACAATGGGGCTGGCTGTGAGAGTTGAAAATGTTGTGGAATCCAGGCAATGGGAATATGTTGCTGTTGTTGTGTGCCGTCAAGTTGGTTCTGACCCACAGAACCTGTATAGTGTTTCCAAGAGCGGATTGAACTGTAGAACTTGCAGTTACCAGTCCAGTGCTTATCCCACAGCGCCACACCAGGGTTTAAGTGGAAATATAGGGGTGGCCATCACACTGTTCTGTTTATTGTGGATCTGTTCAAAATGTTCCATAATGAAATTTTTTTTTCAAGAGGAGGACGCAACCAAATGTTTATAAACTGGCAGAAAACACCCCCCACTTCTCCCGCCCCCAGAACACTGGCATCATTTTCATGTCTACCATACTCTTTTTGTCTTTAGTAATGACTAGGGCTTTCTTCTGGAAAGCTTTGCAAGATCATTGTTTTCCTGTAGTCACTAATCTTTCTGAAGGAAGTCTTACCCTTGGTCTCCTGCCATAGCTATATTTAGATACTTTCAAGAACAACTTTTTCATATGTTAAAAAAAAAAAGTTTTGAGCATTCAGACTGAAAACAGGCCCAAGATCAAAGGACTTTAAAAGAGAATGTAAGTAGGGGAGAAAAAAGATCTAAGTATTTCACTTTTGGCGGGCTGTTTCTTTAATTATTCATCTTGGTTTTTCCTCATTTAGAAATATTTCCTAACATTAAATTCCAATTTAACAAAGGTGTGACTGTATTCTTAGGCCTTACGGCACACTGGCAAAGGTTCTTAAGGAAAACGGGTGCAACCTAATGGAAATGAGCTTGTAGCAACAGGATAGAAATTGTGCCCCTGGTTCATAATGTGCTTGCTCCGTGCTCACTCACACTGCTGGTAAGACAAGGGCTACTGATGACATTTTGCTGAAGACAGTCAGGACAGGAGGCCAAAGAACGTCAAGTTATTCTTGGGTTTGGGGAAAGACATCTTTTATATTAATAAGTATTTTAAGTGATACGAGGTAAATAAACATTAGTAGCTCTAAGTTACTCTTTCTCCTTTTCTGTATTTTGAAATGTCTCCCTCCCCTTAAAACCAGCACAAAGGAAAGTTCTGGAAGATGCTGTGTTCCCTCAGCATTTGTGAAAAGTATGGCTTAGCCTTTTACCCAGCTGTCATCTTTTCTAATTTTCTTTTTCACGTCGTATCTCCTAATCTAAGCTCTTCAGTCCTCGAGGGTAGGAACCGTGCCCCCATGATACTGGTAGAGTCCCATGGACCAGCGTGAAAAACTGATCATGAGAACGATGTGGCTGCTAGGCTCCATCGAGTCACTTCCTACTCACAGCAAATCCACATACAATAGAACGGAACACTGCACGGTCCTGAGCCAGCCTCTAACATTTGAGCCCCCTCTCACAGTCATTGTGTCAATCCAGATCATGGGGGTCTTTCTCTTTTTCTGTTAGTCCTCTACTTTTCCAAACACAATGTCCTGTCACGATGATGATATGACTGTGATTGTTAAGAGCCGTCAAGTCAGTGTTGACTCACAGTGACCCTGTATAGGGTTTCTGAGCAGTGGATGGTGGGTTTTAATTGACCTTGCATTTAGAATTCAGTGTTTACCTTACAGCGCCACACAAATACTCTATGAAAATGATAGCCTCAACTTTTCTACAGAAAACTCAGGCAGTGCTGGAAAGCTTTAGATACTGTGACGTACTTTGAAACAAAAGAGTGCTCAGTCTGGAAAGATCATATGGTGTTCAAGGCCATCCTCCTTTACCTGTGATATGTCCGTTGTGTTCCTTGAGTTCATGAGCTTTCACCCACTGGCTCCCATTCTTCTTATAGATGTGGACTTCATGATTATTGGGGCTAAGGGCGATCTCTGGAAGAAGAAATCAATGTTAACAATTAACACTCTGACTTGAAACTGTCCCCCCAAAGGAGGTATCTGACAGTTGGTGTTTAAAAAACAAAGAGAGGAAAAAGGAGGCTTTGACACAATAGCTCTCAATATTTACCTCTGAAGAATTCCTTTGATTATTTTTACCTCTTCTGAACCTCAGATTAAAACATGCCTACCAGGCAAACTAAAATTTAAAATTCATTTTTCTGTAGACACATACAACTGTTGATTAAAGAATCTTTCTAGTAAGAAATAATTAATGTCACTATGCTTAGCCAATTTAACGAGTGTATCAAGAAAGAACTAGTGTCACTACTGCTTAGCCAGAGTAAAGATTTATGGGAATCCAAGAGTGGTGCATGTGAAAGCTGGACAGTGAATAAGGAAGATCAT